CGGTCGTCGGGTTGCAGCAGACGATCTTGCGCGTCGGGCGCAGACAACGTGCGGGCAGCGTGCGCGGACTGCTGGCGTGACGTGCTGATCACTGGCGGGGCGCGTCGGGCGCTGGGCATGTGCGTGCACGTGGGGCAGCACTCCTATGCCGAGACAGACAGGCGCTGGGCGTGTGTGGTCACGCGTGCGTGCGGAGCAAGGCAGCAGGGCGTCCGCGGTATGATGCGCGCGTACTTCTTGCGCGCTGGGGATGCGCAAACGGCAACTGGGGAGGTGCGCGGGTGATCGGCAGCGAGAAGATGACCCTGGGACCTCACGGGCATCGCTCGAGGACGCTGCTGGGAGTCGACGTCGGGCCTGGCTGGTGCGTGACTGCGAGCGTCGGCTTGCGGTGGCAATCGGCTGGGCCTGGCTGACTTCCAGCGGTGGTAGGCGATTTCCAGCGGTTGTCGACGGCGGCGAACGGCGGCGACAAGGTGATGATGATGACCGAAATATATAAATATAAAGGCTCGAATAAATTGTACCCAAAAGCCTTCTAACACATTACCTAAACACCTACTTCGATTAAACTTGGTGGAGCATTTAATCGAATCTCCCTAACTCTCGAACAATGTTATTCTCTTGTGTAGGTAGAAGAGAAAAATCGGCTAAGACAATTTGTAGGAGAGGTTTGGACATGGTGTATTTATAGGCTCCATTAGGGACCTTAAGGAAGTGCTAAATATGGACTTATTCCATTAGGCCTAGGAATCCTAATTCTACTCCAATACTAATTTAATGTAGGAAGGAGATCTCCTAATAATCCATCTCTTCTAGAAGACTCCTAAGTCTCCTAACACTAGAGAAGATCCTTGTAGGAATATCTTTCCTAATTAAATTAATAATCATGGAATAGAATTAATCCCTAATTTAGAAAGCCAAATTTTACTCCAATTAATAATATAATGTAAGAAATATATTTCCTACTAATCTCCATCTTCTAGAAGACTCCCAAGTGTCCTAATCCCAAGAGATGATTCTAGTAGGAATTTTATTCTCCTAATTAATTAATTAATATGAAATAAAATTAATTCCTATTTAATGGAATTAAATAATAAGACATCCCACTAGAGCAATAT